TCCATTCTCAAACTTCACTTGCTGTACAAGACGCTGGGAGGGATGAAATGGCTGGCAAGCAGCTGTACCAAGCACTACAGCTTCTCCTTTCTCCACTTGCTCATTGATTGATTCGGCACGGATCTTTCGTCTATCAGTATCATTCACTGGTGGTTGAACAGAGAATACAGCCCCATACATTTCAGGTGACTTCCTTTTGCGACTAGAGTCTTCATCGGTGCTGTCGTCGGGAAGAAGTTGGAGAGGTGTGGACTCGATGTTCTCTTGTCCTTCTTCTTCTTCATCGGAGGATTGAGACGCTTGGTACGTGTATTGGAATACTCCCTGTGGCTTGTCAGTCGGTGTCTCTTCTTCTTCTTCTGCATCCTCTTCTACTATCTCTTCTAAGGAGCGCTGAGTCAACTGCAACTCTCCATTCTCAGTATCTTCTGCAATGCCGGCCAATTGCGAACAAAGAGATTTACCTTTGGTCTTGATCTTACCACTGCCACGGGTCGCAACCATGGTGTCAACAATCAACCACCACCACCACGGCGATGAGTGACAAGAGCAAATGAGGCAAGCAGTTCGATACACTCACTGGTTACTATCGCAATGTCCTCTTTTGTCGACTGTAAATGGTGCACCAGATATTGAGGATATGCAATGAGAAAAAGCACGGTGTAAGGAGTTGAGAAGTAGTCGTGTGAAATGATTTGAACTACTTAACGAATCATGTTACTTAACGGACACCGCTCTAATTGGCAAAAATCACCTGCTTAAATAAAAATAAACACCTGTAATAATAATAAATCACCGCCTTAATTACTGTCGGAACCGCCCATCGGTGTATTGCCTCTAATACACACCACCTCACTTAAGGGACCTGCCCCCACGGTTTAACCATCGCTGTTTAACCATCGCTTCGCTCCGGTTAAACCTGGGGCCAACGGTCCCATAAGTGAGGGGGTGTGTTTTTAGAAATGATACGGGAGAGACACATTTGCACCTTGTCGCAAAGCCCTGGCAATTCCATATAGATGGCTGCTTCGGTCAATGACAGTAAGGATTCCACTGTGGCCATCACACCATCAGTGACGAGGCCGTCCGAAAAATCGTAGTTCAAGATGCTGGCGTTGTCCGTGTGAATGTACTCCACAATCGCCTTCAAGACAGGACTGGAAAACCCAATTTGCACTACGTCCTGGTTGGCTTCCTTGAATCTCTTCTGGAACATGGCCTGGAAAAAAGGACTTCGAATAGAGAGTGCAATGCGACTGGCACGAATCGGAGCGCCGTCGTCATTGCCTTGAAGAGAGACATCATGGTACTGTTCCTCCGACAGCATGGAAAATGCTTGAGAAAGAGAAATCTCTTTTGGGATATCAGCAGCAACGTTAGACATGGTAGATAGAGCAGTGAAGAGTCAAGTGACAGCCAAGTGAAGAGTGACAGTCAATTTGAATGGCAGATGCAATCGATGAGTGTGTTGCAATGCAATGACAACGGCTCGATCGTCCCAGGTCACTGTCGCGGTTCTTTGAAAAGGGCTCGAGCCTGGAAAGCTGAGATTTAACACCCTCTCTTGATTAAATCTTTTGGTTTTGCGATGATGACGTCACTCGATACCATTTCCTGGCTCAACGGAACCAACGGCACCAACGATTGGGCTTGTGCTCGAGAGTGACGGATTTAGTTGGAAATGACGATGCTAAAACGCAAGGCACAAACTTTTTTGTAGTTGGAGAAAGCAAAGAAGTTACCAAGAAAGACCCAACAACCCGCAATTGTCCTAATATCATTTAGTTGAGTGAGTCGAGTCTATTATTATTGTGATCTACATGTACCCCAAGCATCATGCCTCCTCCTTCGAACCTCAAGCCTGTCCAGCAACAGCTGTTTGCGGAAAATGGAGCTCCTCGCCCCTCCGCCGAGAAGAAGACGCACATTGAAGTCTGTGCTCGGATAAGGCCGTTGCAGATCACCATGCAGAGTTCGTCGAGTTACTTCAATGACCATCATGCGTCTCCGCGCAAACCTCCCGTTCCAAGCACCCGTAGAGCTGGTGGAATTCCCACCCCCAAAGCCTCAGCCAAGGGTAACAAGACGCCCCAAAAGTCTCCCGCACCGATTGCGGAAGAAGATCTCTTTTATGCCTGGGACGTGATTGGAAAAGACACTGCCTCGCAAAGCCCTCGAACGGATATCGTACAGGGGAGGACGCATCAATACACGCTCGATAAGGTCTATGGACCTACTTGTTCCACCAAAGAAGTCTACGCTCAATCGGTCAAGCCATTGGTAATGTCCGCCATGGAAGGTAAGTGAAACGTCAAACAAAGAAACAGTCATGAATTATTTATTTATGGGTGTGAAATGATGAGGCTGAAAACTTGAGGAAGAAAAAGTCATGTTTCTTTCTGTTCTGTGTAGTGTGAAAGGATTTCTTATCCTTTCTGTTTTTGGTTTTGGTGTGTGTTATTTTTTAAAATAGGATACCACAGCGCTGTTCTAGCATACGGTCAAACCTCCACTGGTAAAACATTCAGCATGACGGGAACACCCACTTCTCCTGGAATCGTTCCTCTTTCCATTCATCAATGCTTCCAATGCCTCGAAAAGGATCGGGAATACCTCATTCGAGTAAGTTATCTAGAAGTCTACAAGGAACAAATTAGGGACCTATTGGCCGATGGAGCCAGTCAAATTCGACTCTTTGATCATCGGGAACAAGGACTCATCATCAAGGGACTACGAGAAGAGGTTGTGACGTGTCCCAAACAAATCTTTGAAATACTCGCTAAGGGAGAAAAAAGACGCAAAATTGGTGCCACCAACATGAATCAACATTCCTCACGATCCCATGTCATGGTGCGATTGTGGATTGAAAGTCGGGCCGTGGGGAATAATAGACGCGGT